CTGCCAAATTAGACGTATTACGGTCAAAATTGCGGCATGTGAATAATCACGACATGTTGGTGAGCTGTATCAAGGAGCATCAAAAAATAATAGGGTAAGATATATGTATCTGCTAAATTTTTAATTAAATATTTCTGAAAATTTGTGTAATTTTAATTTGATTTTTGAAACAATAGAAAATATCAATCAAAATTTTTATGCTTTTATAAACTTTTAAAATTCGTAAATTATTTAAGAAAAGATAAAATGCATTGTAAAAAAAATAGTAGATTATTGATAGTAAAATAGATTAGCTTTAAGAAAACTGATTTGATCCCTTCTTCTTTTATTTACATAATTTTTATATTATTTTATATCATTTCAATCGTTAAGTATTCACGAAAGCAATTAAAAATTAGTGAAATATATCTATTTTTTCTCTTTATGTAGTCAATGTTATTTTAGTGCGTTGAATGAAGACAGTGCATTTTACTGCATTTAAGAATATAGGATAAGCTACTTCAATCGAGAGTTTAAATTCTTTACCGAATTAAATAAATTAAGACCGTGTCATGGTTAGATTTGTGGAGGATACTAAAGCTACTGTTGAGACTTTATTATTCAAAACGAACGTCACAATGGGAAGCACTATGATGTGCGGAGCTTTCCCATTGCTTAACGTGAGTTTAGAAAAAAATTTTTCTCTTTAGACAATTTGTAATACGTATAGCGAAATAGACGAACAAAAAATTGATCGTTTCTATTATACGTTTCTATAATAATATTCAGAATCAATCGTTGGCCGCGATCAGTCAGTTTCTTCCTCTGGTGTTATCAGGCATCTTGCATTTGTATGTCATCGCCTGGCCAGCAGATGATTTAAGAGAAAGTGTAAGCTAAATAAATAGTAAAAATTCGATAGAACGTCATCTCATCATATGCACTGTTTCTTTATATTTTTTTTCAAATTAAATAAAATTCCATCGTCCACTTTCACCCCATTTTCAGATTTTAATTCGATAAAACATGAAAATTTTTATTTTCAGAGTGTACAATTTACAAATTCGATTAGCGATATCCAGTGGTTGGGTCAACCAAATAAAATGAAAAGTTGTATGGTTTTCATGATGATGAGAAGTCAAAAAGCATTTCTCATTCGTATGAGTAATTTACTACCACCTCTTTCTTTGGAATATTGTTCAAACGTAAGTTTCATTAAAATTATTTATATATATAAAATAATTCAATTTTAATTTTTTAAAGTTCTATAAATATTGTGTTCAATAATTTATAGTTTATAACTACAGTATCGTCCTACTTCATGGCAATGAGAACTATGATTGAATCATAATTATTCAGGCCTATATTATTTAAATATTAATGTATATTATTGAGATATGTAATAAATTTATCGTTTGAATAGAAAATTATAATATATGCATGCGTTATATTTTTCTAGAATGAAATATATAAAAATTGTAATATCAGCGCCATCTCTGGAGTATCATAAATGAGATTGTGATACAAGATAACAAATAGGTTAGAGATAGAATGAGAATTGACTATCTTCGCCATCTTTGGAGTACCAAAAATATCATTCTAAAAAGGACTTGAGAGACAGCACTGAGGATTAATTCTTATTCTATCTTCTATTATTTTTTATTCTTATTAACGCATTATTCATATATGATATAGGATATCAATATAATAATAATAATAATAATAATAATAATAATAATAATAATAATAATAAAAAAGAAGACTGTATATAAAACCAGTATTCTGTTTAATTAATTAATTTGTTTCACAATGAGTCTATAATAGTTTCTGAAACAAATAAAATCATAAAAAAATTAAAAAATTTATAAAAGATTATTTATCAATTATTAATCAATTCACATTAAATTTAAATAACAATTTTCTAATATTTTTCTTTGACATTATATTTGAGATGTTAAAAAATTATATGATTAAATACACAAATTTGTTATACAAATATAGTCAAAGAAAGAATATAACTAGAAAATATAACTATAGAATAAAACAATATAATATCAAAGATAATAAAATTGGAGACTTCATTTTTTTAAAAAATTAAATTTATTATACACGTGAACTTGATTAATAATATGAATAGAAAAATTGCGTTTTGTACAAATATAATTTTTAAATAATGAATAATTAAGTTTGTAAGTAAAATCATACCAATAAATGATTAAATCCTTGCATTTTGATGCTCGAAACATGGCAAAGATGGTTTGGAAGATATCTTAGACCTCAAGATTAAAAATATTATCCAGTGATAGAAGAATATTTCGATATCAATCTCTAAATCTCATGAAATGTTATGAAAATAGCTACAACAATTATTGCATATGAAAACAACAGAAGGCATATCAAATATAAAATGTATTAGATGCTATTATTTGCTACTTTCATGTAACTTTTCTCTATAATTTTGCTACTATCCGATAATTAAATCACACAATAACTTCTATTGAATCATATAAATGGCTTAGGGAATCCTTCATCCAAGAAAACTTAATACATTGCGTGCAATATACATATAGTGGAATTGTGCTTAAATGCTTAATGAAGGAATCGATTTTCACTGGCCCCTATTCCATAAACACTTCCGTAAGATAGATTATTATTTTCATTTGGTATCTTCTAACTTCGAAGAAACATTCGATGAAATGGGCATGCTCAATATGGACATTCGTCAAGTACTTTATATTCTGGAACTGACAGGAACGTTTACGTGCACTTGGCCAATTAATCCGAATGACAGTAAAAAATACATCATTATTCGTAACATCTTGTGGACATTCACGATATTGAACGTGATTTTTTTAACAATATCCTTGATGCTTGCTATTTTTCATTTTCGAAGTGATATACCTAAATCGATGAAAACTGCCTCTGAGATGGCTGCTTTGCTCGAAGTCGCTTTGGATTTGGCTCTCTGCAAATGGAACAACAGCGAATTGCAGGTTGATTTAATTTAAAAACAAAATAGATATTTAATTGATGACGTTAAAATTATAATAACTATAACTATAACAAAATTTTCAATTTCTAGGTTTTGATAGAAGAAGTCAAGTCGTTCTTGGAGATAGCCAACAAATACGAAATTAAAATATTTCAGGGATATATAAATCGTTACAAAAAATTCTTCTCAACTGTTGCTATGGGATATATCTTACCTGCGAGCTCGTTCATTTTGATGCCTTTGTTCTCAGCCCAAGAATTACCCGCAGAGGGATGGCTTCCATTCTCCATCGAACCACTCGGAATATACTGCGTAGTCTATGTCAATCATATTTATTGCATTTTACAAACGTCATTTTGCATTTTTGTAGATTTCACGATCGTCATCCTCTTTAGTTTTCCC